TAGTGTTTTATTTTTCATATAGATGTATGTTTTTCAGAGGAAGTGGTATGTTTATTTCTTGCCCATCTACAGTCATTCATTTTAGTCATGTGTTTGTAGGGTTATACAATTTATGTATTACCTTAGGGTGTTATGACCCACAAAGTCTTAAACCCCTTGGCATAGGCATCATATAATCCTAGCAATATCATCATCAATTAACAGCTAGCTAAGACATTTTCTTCCATCCACCAGAAAAGACATTGCAACAATTACATCAGAATAAGGGATCACTGTTGCCTAATCTGACAGGCTTGAAAAATGCCAAGTTAATATTCTAGCAATAACTGTACAAATGTGCTTCTCTCTTCTTAAGAACCACTCCAAGACTTCATACATATTCTCTCAATACAACTTATATATAGAACAAACTGTATCTTAGTCACTGAGTTGATCAACAACTCCATTCTATCTGGATTAATGCATTATATCAAGAATGAACCAATTCAGGTCATGAGACTATATGAAAAAAACAGAAAGGCAATGACACTCAAGAAGCTAATATGTCTTCTAACTGAATAAGCAGTCATATCTGGGACATCCAGAAATATTAATGTCATAAAAGTGTATGTACCTACTATAGATGCATATAGAGAAGATAGTGAGCATAACATTTAAGATATGTTAGACATGCCAAGTGCAGGTACTAGAAAGCATACAGTATTAGGAATGGGGCATAGGACGTGGAAATGCAAAAGAAATATTTGGACCAGATTAGAATTACCAAATATATCCTCCTTTTTGTCTTCATGTCCTCTGGCAGACAAAGCCTTAAAATCAAATATTGTCTGACTTTTTGAGTATCTAAAAAGCTACCTGAGTGGCTTTTCTTTGCAATGCCACAAGTAGTACTAACCTCGTTAACAAGTTCAGCACTCGGACCTTAATTAGTTGATCAGTCCCCTCTGATGGGCTTGGACTACCCACTTGAAACTGACAAGACCTTAATCAGTTATTCACTGAAGGGTTTTGCTTTATAACTGGCTCTAACACATTCCTGTAATTAAGAAAACAATCTTCTTGAAGTAGGAAAAACAATTTCATACACATGTGGACTTTAGTACTTTTTTTGCAGTAATTTTTATTGCAGATGTCAGGACATTTAAAAAATTAGAATGTACTCCTTTTCTTTCCGCTTGTCCTCGTGCCCAACTGTCTGTTTCCTCCTTTTTCTGTTTAGATATCTGGTAATCCTAGACCCAGATAAATGCAGGAGATAGGCTAAACAAATTTTGGGAAGATAATTTTTTATTGTCAGCAAGATCTGACTTGGAGGACACATACTTGAAATATAAGATGTAAGTAACAGATTCAATATATTAAGATTGCACAAAAAAAAACCTGAAAAGCTACTGAAAAAGATAAAAGACATTGTAAAAAAACAACATTTCTAACTGATCCCAATGACTTTCATAGCAGGATATCATAATGATAGCCTAGCCAAAGCAAAGCATGGAAAGCCTTAAGCAGCAACAAGGATGCACAATTGAACACAGACTTTAAATGTCAAGCAAGAAAGGACAAGATATTGCAGACAAGATGTCAATGAATTCTTAAAAACAAAAAGAAATTGAAAATGAGAGATATTTTTAAAAGATCAGAGAAATCAAAAGAAACTTCACAGCAAAGGTAGAACTCTTCAGAAATAATTGTGAAACAGATCTAGTAGAGGAAGATGAGGTTTAAGGAAGATGGAAATACTATATTTGAAATCTTTTACAATTGGGATTACAGAATAATAGAAACATCTATAGACAGAGAATATATTCAGGAACTATGTTCATTAGAAACTGAAATGTAACAATCAATAGACCACAGATGCAAATGAAAAGTTGAACAATTTAAAGCCGCAAGAGAAGAGCCAGTTAAAGTGCCAATAGTTCCATGTTAACAAATACGGAACAAAATACTAGACAATGGGAATATATTATATCTAATGGGTGTTGCAGAACATTTGATTATTTTTCAGAATAGTCTTTATAATAATAAAGAAATTATCCTAACTTGTTTTTATTAATGCTTTTCTATTTTTTTTTTTAACTGAAAGCTGCCCAGAGTCATGTAGGGGAGATGGGTGGTGTAGAAATGTGATGAATAAATAAAAAGATAAATAAATTGTAAGAACTGAATTTGAAACAGAACTTTAAAATAAAGAAAGGAACGAGACAAATCTACATAAGTTGTATATATTATACATGCTGGCATTCAGGAAGTCTCTGACTTACAACCCCAATTGGAATGGAATTTCAGTTATAAGTCATTGCAGTCATAAGTCGAGGGGACTGGAGCTGATTTTTTTTGATAATTCCTTACAGCAGTCATTAAGTGAATTGTATGATCCTAAGTTTGAATCATGTGATTGTTAAGTGAAATGCAGTCATTAAGCCAATCAATTTCCCAAATGGGCATTTTTTAATGGAAATTGGCAAAAACATCACAAATTGCTGTTACATGACTGCAGATACTAAAACTGGTAGTAAATGCAAATTGATTGTCAAACACCTGAAATGGGGTCATGTGACTACAGGATGCCTAGCACGACATTTTATGACAACCAGAGGTGTTTTATGGGCCATAAAGCACTCTTGTTGAGGCTGTTGTAACTTCAAATGGTTGTAAAATGACTGGTCATATATCAAAAACTACCTGTAGTTTGGAGTATACCATTATTATAAACCAGTGATGGCGAACCTTTTAGAGACTGAGTGCCCAAATTTCAACCCAAAACCCACTTATGTATCGCCGGGTGCCAGGTGGGCATGCCCCGCCGGGCAGGTGTGGCCTGCCGGGTGGGCGAGACTATGGTGGTCGTGGGCGGGGCCAGGGTGGGCGTGGCCAGCTCGATGTTGCTCCTGAGGAGGGATGTCTGTGGGGGCTAGGCAGGGTTGGGGGAGATCCAGGGGGTCTCTGGTGGGTGGGACGGTGGGCAGGAGGCTTGTCCTGCGGGGTGAGGCAAGACAAGGCGAGGCAGGGCAGGGGTGCCATTGTCGCAGGGCAAGGCAAGGCAGGGACTGGGGCGGCTGCTGCCTGACACCATCGGCCCCCGCACACAGAGGCCAGCGAGCACATGGATGCTGGGATGCATCCAGCCACATGGGACCTCAGCGAGTTAGCGGGCAGCTGGTTGAAGAGGACGGTTGCCATCTACGGGGCATGGCGCGTGTGCCCACAGAGAGGGCTCTGAGTGCCGCCTCTGGCACGTGTGCCATAGGTTCGCCACCACTGTTATAAACACTATGAAAACTGCAGATGATATAATTTTGTAAGACTTGTACAAAAATGTAAAAAATGGAGAGTAAAATCATGAAGATTCCTGTCTGACCTAATTGCATCTAATTAATCTTCACTGAGTAATACTATAAGTTACAAAGAGAAGGGGAAAAAACTACACATTTGACTACACATTTGTAAAGATGAAAACCTCTTGAAATATTAAACATTCAGGAAAACTGATATCTTGAAGCAACTTTGGAAGGAAACCAAATTAGTTATTTTTCTAGTACCAACAAGTCCTTCCAACTTCAGATAAAAATCAATATAAAACACAAAACTTATCCTAAAGAATTTATTTGAGATATTAGACTTCTTTTAAATGTTCCTACATTTACTCATTCCTAAAGTGAAGGCTATTGTCTGAGTTGGCAGCACTTCATAATGAAAGTTCTAGCATCATTAATCTAGTAAAGTATTATTTTAAATGATACTAAAACAAAATATAAATATATAGGAAAAGGAAAACCATTCAGTGCTGTGAAATAATATTCTAAGCCAAGAATAGGAAATATGTTAGAGCTACTTCACAATTTATTATAGATACAGCAAACTGTGTTTATTGAAGGAGGACCAAAAGTTAAAGAAGCATTTCCAAACCATAAGGATCTACAGTTGGTTGTCAGTTCTTGATTTATCTATTTTCTTCACGCTTTCCATGTTTATTGCTACTAAAGTCAAAAAATGATACAATAGATAGCTTTTACTTGCCTCCAGGCCTACAGTGACCCACACATCTAAGAGAAGGTAAAACAGCAGGTAGGAAAAGCTGCTTCATTAAACAAAAGGAGAATGTCATAGGCTGGAAGTATTAAAGTAAGGAGAAAATGAAGACATTTTTGTAGTCCTATTTTCACAGCTGACATTTTATAGCTCTGAACTTCCAATGCTTGCTTAATTTTGCTGCAATTAAGAAACCGCTTGCCATTTTGCGACTGCATGGAAAATTGATATTTTTCCTCTTTAAATATCTCACAATATACTTCTCCCAGACATATTTAATACTTCTGAAAATATAATCAATGCTGATTTTCCCATACATAGAAAGTATAACTTGAGTTTGCATGTGATCTTTTTCTTTCCATAGGTAAAATTATTAAAAGTATCACCATTATCAGCTCTTTATACAAGTGATATAGGGGAGAGTAATGTAATGTTTAGTATCTCTAAACTATGCCATTACTCACCATAAAATCTATGGGTCTTTTCCAGATTTAAATTAATCTCTTGGAGTTTAATAGAAAAGGAAGTTAGCAAAGTTAACTGCTAAGTGCCATAAAATCAAAGCTATGCATATAGTTACTTCATTCTGAATGATTTTATCAGCAGTCAGATGGAGTACATGCAGATAGCTACACCTGCAAGAAAACTGTAGATACTATGAAAAGATCAGGGAGAGTTGCTCTCATTAGGCAATTGTGATGGAAGAGGAATTAACAATATTACACAGAATAAATTTATACCTCACATTTTTACATATAGTCCCAGAATGTTTCAATAATCAAGTCACGTTTGATAAGATTCGGGAGCAGAACTACTGCCAAAGTTCTGAGTTAGAGTTCTTTTGGAATTCTCTATTCTATCATTACTAGTAGTAAAACAAAAACCTGGAGAAATTCTGGTACTAATTTTATAAACACAGATACAGATGTATTTTCCAAACTGTTCAGCAGACTAGGCTTTGTACTGACCTGAGGTCTGGAAGTCTATCTGGATAGGATTGGAGAAACCATCAACCGCCTTCCGCCATCTGCCTCCACCCCCTGGTGACCATGCAGTCACCTCACAGCGATATAGCCCGGCATCAGAAATCTGAGTCTGGTACATCCTATAGCGGAACTCATTTTCTTGAATCTTTTCCAAGACTACACCATCCACCCGGTCCTGGTCTGTCCAGTCTTCCCGCCTAACTACTGAATCTTGATTGAGAGAAATGATACGAGTAGTCCCGTTTGATCTTGTCCGATTACTAAGAGACTTCACTGCTGTAATGAGGACTGAATAACGAGGAGTCTTGATGTTCTGGGATGACACCTTGCAGGTCATTTCAAATGTATGCCCTGCCATGAAGAATGGTTTCAGCTTCACAGCTTCTACAGTCAATGTGTAATCTGAGAAGAGGAAAGGAATCACAGATATAAGCAGCAAGCAAATGGTGAGTGAACATTATGCAGTAAGCAAGGGATTATGCTGTTAATATCCTACAGACAATATCAAGTTTGTTTTTTTAAAAAAATAAAGGTCTGCACCACAATTAGTTAGATGTAGACATACAATGCATCATAGGACAGTGTGCACCTCTGCAATTTCCCTGTACTCAATGGTGCTTATTACCAAGCATATACAAAGCTTTAGCGCAAAGTAACAGCAGGTTTTGACAATGCATGAAAACAAAAACAGTAGGAAAGCACGCAGAATATTTACATACTGATAATTTCAACATGTTCTTGAGTGAAGTCCTAACTGAGTTTTAATAAGAAATTAGAGCTTTGGTTGAAAAAATTATACAAACGAGCACATAAACGGCATCAGAAAAATGAACTTTTCTGAACTAGCAGTACAGCCTATTATAATTGGTTTAGGGAATAATCTGTCAAATATCAGAATACTGTAATTCATGACATGATAATTATTCAACCTTAAAATGTCTCTCAAAATAATAGAACACTGGAAATTTCTCACTTCTGCGATTTTATTTTAAATTATCTTTTATTTGAATGTATTTCACATTCGTAATAGAACATAAAACATAGTTCAACAGAGTTGGAAGGGACTTTAGAGGTCTTCTAGTCCAACCCCTTGCTCAAGTAGGAGACCCTATACCATTTAGGACAAATGGCTGTCCAGTCTCTTCTTAAAAGCCTCCAGTGATGAAGCATCCACATGCTACAACTATTGTAAAACAGGATAGTTTTAATTACATCTATTCTTACTTTTCAACAGTGACCAACCTGAAATCAAGTTAGTAATCAGCAAAATATCATCTCTTTATATATTTTTTCTGCTTGCAAGACAATTGTAAGACAGACTGAAAATGTCCCATATGAACAGACAAAAATAGTACTACTCAGTAGTGTACAGCAGTTAATATGTTACTCTATGGAGAATAAAATGATCTTGAAGATATGGTCAGCAGTGTTACCAATTGTATTCTACTGGACCAACTAAAGGACATTACATAACTGGTTGCATGGATCACAGAAAGATAAACATTAAAAATACTGCACAAATATTCTCTTGGCATCATCATATAATCTACTATGCAAACCACTCAAACAATAATAGTTGTAACAATAGCAACAATAATATTTTTTAAGAAACTGAACACACTTAATTGGATTATGTGGGACATTAATATAACAAATAAATATGTATTTATTTTTATTTATGTATTAAATTTTTATGCCACAGATCTCCTCTATGAGGTGACTCTGGATGTTATATGTTACTGCAGTCAGCCTCAATAAGACTTGGAGATAGCATATATGGAAATTAAGCTCTCCTGTTAGACTCACACATTTTGGAACACCTTAAAAACAGACCTGACCATCTAACAAGTCATAAATGATCAACTTTTCAGTTGTATGGATCAAACTTGAGCTTATACAAATATTAATCATGACTAAGTTCTACATACATGATTCTAGATAGCAATAATAAATGTTAAATAAAAGCTAAAGATGACTTACTGCAGAGCATCATTGTGAACAAAATTATCATATGGATAATACGGTAGCCAAATAAACACAGTGAAATAAATAAAACCACTTTAACCAATAATTTCAATTCTGTGCAATTCTAGTCCTTGACATATGATGTAATACTTATTTAATCAAATTTCTACACCAACCATCCCACCTAGATGGCACAAGTGTGATGACTGTACAGTCATGTTTCACCCTATAGACTTTTAGTATCTCACATTTGAACAAAAGGAATACTTTCTTACAATGGAAAAGTTAATGACAGCACAATTAAGCCATGTTCTGATGGTAAAAGGAAGTTTAGTTTTTTCACCCCATAAATTGTTTATTTTTAAAATTACAGGATTTATCTTAGAACCCTAAAAATATAGTATTGTAGGATGCTGCTTTTTTCTGTAATAATCTTCTTTTTAGATTGATCATCTTAAATTTAGGGTTGCTTTCTGTTGAGAAATACTGTATAGCTACTTTCCCTATCACATCATCTGGCAAGTTGCTTAATAGCCACACACCACTGGAAAAATTTTATAGTGTAAGAAGAATTTTATATTATAAGAGACTTCTTTTATAACATAAATGTATATTCTATAAAAACAAATTTGTATCAAATAAGTTGCATAATTCTCATCCACAAATTAGAAAATTTTCACATATCATAAAGCAATAATCAGACTGAACTAAATATCTGCATTTGTAAGTAAATGGGTATAACTGAATTTTCCTGTTTGAACTTACAAGAGGTTTTATCCAAATTTAATTATCCAATAATGAACAAAAAAGTTCTTTACCAACATTGAGCATACATAATAGCAGAAAATAAACTGTATATGTATTTGAGAGTATTATTGGAAAGCATTTTATCTACTTCCTTAGAAGCAAATCACCTATTTCCATCACCAGGGAATAGATATTTAGATATAGATATTGACTGTCACTGTTTTAGTTTCATGAAATTTCTGCAAGAGGCCATCACTTCAAACATTTATAGCCTGTTCTTCTACCTGTAAAGAATTTGGAATTAAAGAAGTATATATGCATTTCTGGTACTTGCCCAGTATTTCTTACTTCCCTTAATCAGTTTCTACAATCACATGTTTTAGCTTTACAGCACAAAAAAGGCAGGTCATGTACCATGAAGGCAGAATTCTTATTAGAAGTGAACTAGCTTGGCATTTAGAACTGTTTATACAACAATGCATTATCTTCTAATGAAAAATACCCTGAATATCAAACACAGGTGAATCTTTTACAAGGCAATGGGGAAATAAGTTATTCCAAGCTCATAATATACTTCACAAATAAAAACTACATACTACAGATACCCTCCCCCAAGAGATACACAAGATAGTTATGATTACATTTTGCTGTGTTTGCCTTCAAGCGGCAATTTCCACAACAAGTAAACACTAGAAGATGATAACACTGACAACTATATTAGCACTAAACAAAGGAGGGAATTGTACAATGCTAAGAACAAATCAATGTAGTAACAGAAGTAGGCTAAGTTCTCATTTCCAGTATTAAACATGATTCAAAGATGGCAAAATTAATTTTAAAATTAAACAGAAAAATACATTTCTTATATGGACTGTTTCCGCTTCTTAACTATTAAGTTCTTACTTAATTTCTAAACTATTTTATAAAGCATGCAATCCTAAATTAATTGGTATGCTCTATATCATTAATGCTCAAAAAAGGATGTAGTTAACATTTAAACATACTTTTAAAGCATCTTCTTTACCTCTTCAGAGGCAGCATTAGGCAACATTGGAAAGGTGAAACATCTATTATCCAGTGACTAAAGAAATGGCAGCATACTTGAAAAGAACTCATAGGCACATCCCTTTTAAAGGACAGATTAAATGTAATGTGGAAGATCTATAATTACAAATCCTTTTCACATTTATACACATTCTGTAGAGTTCAAACATAAAGAGTCAGGAATGGCTACATGATAAATTTGGATATTTCTTTCATAAACACATTCCAAGCTGATTATATTTTTGTATGTTTTGTTCACAAAACACACAACCATGTATGATTAGTTTAACTTGCAAGAAGCATTCTGTACATAGACTTCATATTTCTATGCTCAGAACTACCACATTTATTTGACAGTAAGACACTCCATCTTAAAAAAAACAATACACACACACACACACACACACAGGCACATGCAAATACATAGGAAAAAAATGTGTTCTTCAGAATTCTTCACTGCCCAACTTCCCTATCAGCCACCTCCATCTGAAAGCAATCCAGACATTTTCATCTCAGCAACAAGTATGAACTATCTGCATTTCAATATATGTATGTATCTCCCACAAGCAATTCTCCAAAGGAGAATAATAATTACTTAAAATAAAATTGCTCCAAATAATTACTTAAAATTAATTGCCAATAAATAATTTATAAAATTAATCTCTATATGCTGCTATCAATCATTCTCCTTTAAACACATGGACCTATCTCCCTCCTCCATTCCAGCAGAAACAACAAAAAAGAGGGAGGGAGAAAGAGACAGAGGGGAGAGGAGGAGGAGGAGGATCGGAGGAAAAAAAGAAGGAAGACAAGATGGAAATAGTAAGAGGAGGGGAAGGGAAGCGAATCGAAAGAAAGAAGCACAACTGGATTGAGATGAATTATGGGAAGAGGAACTGAATAAGAAAAAAAAGAATGAAATCTCATTTAAGTATTACAAAAGAATAAAAATTCATCAAGCTAGCAGCTCTTCAGAGGTGACAAGTCATTTTCAGTCTAGGTCTCCTGCACTGGATTTTTGCAGCTTATTGCACCTCTTATCTATTTGTTTGTATTTGACAGCATATCCTCAGAGAACCCTCTAAATCTCTGAGTAGGTTCTTGGGCAGGTAATCCACAGCATGGATTAAATGCATGTGATTAGGTCATTAATACAAGTGCCATGACTTAATACATTTGCATAAAATGTTTGCATGTTATATGAGTCATAAGTGGCTTGTTTGTTACAGGTGCTACTAATTCATAGGTATTTATTTGGAAAGAACCCTCCTACTGCTATTAGGTAAACATAGCCTATTGAAAAAATTGAGGAAATTTGAAGAAACTGTCATATTTCTTAAAATTGTCTGCACAAAATTCCTGTGGATTTTTGGTGTCATACCTAGGTTGTTGTAAGAGTAAAGAGGTACACTGAAAAGTAGACTCTCATTGCCAGACATCTAATGAGCAAAGTGATTATAGATGGCAATTCAGGTGGAAAAATTGAGTTCTTATATGTTCGCTACCTATTTCCTATTTATTTTTTTACAGTTAGGAAAACTGTGATGCAGCACGATTCGAGCAAAAATGTTTTTGTATCTTATAATTTCAACTCTTCTTACTTTCTCCACTTTATCACCAACATTTGTCATGTTTTTATATGGTAA